ACTTGCAGCCTGGCTCCCACAGCCTGGCCCTGGGGTCCACCGGCTTCCGGCCCGGCAGCTGCTGCTGTTGGTGCCCGTGGCTCCACTCCCTCACCCCCCTGTTCCCTCGCTGGCCTGGAGGACCTCCAGGGCGTGGCCTGCCAGCTCTGCCCACCACCCCTGCTGGGAACCGCGGGCAGGTGGGCGGCAGCTGCTGCCTGGTGACCTAACTGCCCCTCAGGTGGCGACCTGCAGAGCTCGCACTGCACCTTGGGCGAGGCCTTCGAGGACCTGGACTGGGAGGCTGAGAAGGGCCTGGAGGCCGTGGCCTGCGATGCAGAGGGCTTCCTGCCGCCCAAGGTCATGGTGAGGACCAATCCCCGCGCCCTCAGCCAGTCTGGGGATCCTTTTCCTCAGGAGCTTGCTGTCTGCCTGGGAGGGAGGCAGCCACTGCTGCTGCCCGCGGGGTGAGGGGGTGTCTCATGGGGCTCCCCTGGGGGGTCTCATCGTAGCTGCTGCTGCGGGTGGGCTGACCACGGGGGCTCCTGCTGCCCCTGGGCTCCCAGGCGGCCGAGCCTCCCCTGAGCCGCTCCCTGTGTCCCCAGCTCATCTCCTCCAAGGTGCCCAGAGCAGAGTACATCCCCACCATCATCCGCAGGGACGACCCTTCCATCATCCCCATCCTCTATGTGAGTGCCCACCCAGCCCCCAGCCCCCAGCGCCGGGCGGGGGTGGTGCTGCCCGAGAGGGACTGATTCGGGGTGGCCTGTGTCTGTCCCAGGACCACGAGCACGCGACCTTCGAGGACATCCTGGGTATGTGCCCTCCATTCCCACCGTCTTCCGGGGCGGGGGCAGGGGCAGGGTGCGCAGGCTGTAGGGGAGCACTGGGGGCAGCGCTCACACCCCTCCCTCCCCAGAGGAGATCGAGAAGAAGCTGAACATCTACCACAAGGGTGCCAAGATCTGGAAGATGCTCATCTTCTGCCAGGTGGGGCCTGCACCCCGTGTGTGTGGACTGGGGGAGCAGTGGGTGGACACCCTCCAGGCTGACCACCGCTCTCACAGGGCGGCCCGGGACACCTGTACCTGCTCAAGAACAAGGTGGCCACCTTCGCCAAAGTGGAGAAGGAGGAAGACATGATCCAGTGAGCGGGCGGGCGGGGGCTGGGGAGGGCTGGGCCCTGCGCCCCCTGCACCCCGGGGCCTGGGTTGGAGATCGCCTGTGACGCGCCCTTCCCCCACCAGCTTCTGGAAGCGCTTGAGCCGCTTGATGAGCAAAGTGAACCCAGAGCCAAACATCATCCACATCATGGGCTGCTACATTCTGGGGAACCCCAACGGGGAGAAGGTACAGGGACCCTAGGCCCCACCAGGCTTCTGGGGATCCGGGCCCATGAACAGAGGTGACAGAATGCCCCTCCCCACCTGTGTCTGCTCAGACTCCCTCTCCTCTTTCCTTAAACTCTCCAGAGAGCCTGGCTGGTTTGACTCAGTTGGTAGAGCGTTGGCCTGGAGACTGAAGGGTCCCGGGTTCGATTCCGGTCAAGGGCACATGCCTGGGTTGTGGGCTTGATCCCCAGTAGGGGGCATTCAGGAGGCAGCCAATCAATGATTCTCATCATTGATGTTTCTATCTCTCTCTCCCTCTCCCTTCCTCTCTGAAACCAATACAAATATATATTTTTAAAAACCCTCGGAGGACCCCCTTGTGCCTCAGCCCAGCGGGTTGTGAGGGGTCCTGCCTCCCCATCTTGCCCTTAAGCTCCCTCCCTTCCTCCCCGCCCTGGACTCATGGCCCCGCCCCTCCTTCCAGCTGTTCCAGAATCTCAGGACCCTCATGACCCCTTACAGGGTCATCTTTGAGTCCCCCCTGGAGCTGTCGGCCCAAGGTGAGTTGGTCAGGCTGCTCCCCCGCACTGGGATGGGGTCCCGAGGCAGCGCCCCCTTCCCCGAGGCCGGCCCCAGC